GTTGTAAGGTGAATACCTTTGGATTATGAGGGAGGGTGTGCAGTGTTGAGAACATCTATTCCCTCTTAAAACTGTTTGGTTTAAGGTGGTAGTTTCTGTTAAATTATAAGTGCACATCAAGAATGTTCAGGCTGCTTTTAGTCTAGATCACCTTTTCTCCATTAGAAATATTTGATAAAGGAAGCCTCCCCTTTTACCCCAAGTTCCTCTAAGTAGGGTGACTCTAGTCTAAGCATTCTGTATCAGTTTCGTATTAACTTCATCTGAGAGCAAATATATTTTCGTGGAAGTGTTGGTGTTTGCTACTGAAGTGATTTAACTTTCAGAAATGTAGTTTAGCAGTGAGCAGTGGGGTAGAAGTACACTGCTTAGCAGGAATACTTCTTGCAATGCAAGCACACAAAAAGCCATGAGGAAAAGAATACTCTTTTTTAACCTTCAGATACAGTATCAGCATAACTTTGCTAAGGAGAAGATTTTTACCAACTGACTGTACTGAGTTGTTTTAAGGTTTACTGAGTTGGACTTGTGGTCATGAATGCTTGCATACTGTTCCTTGCTTGTGAAATTCATCCTTTATTGCTCAATAGTGAGCAGATTTAATCAGATGAAAAATATAGTTTAGAGCATTCCAAAACTTGATGATTCAAAAAAGTGTCATCTTGCCCTTATTCAGTTTGTCATATAGTGTTTTGAGTATAGTACTGGTGAAGAATTTTTATCTAGAATCCTTTTTTTTTTTTTTTTTTTTTTTGTAGGATACTCCAGGGTTTATTGTTAACCGTCTCTTGGTGCCATATATGCTTGAAGCTGTTCGACTCTTTGAGAGAGGTACTTATAGTGGTACTTACTTCAGGAGAAGTTGACATATTACTCTGCTAAATAATAAATATCTTCAGAAAAAGCGTTGGGATTCCATTGCAACTTCCATACCTCAGAGGGTGGAAATGAGAATTGGAGGTAGTGTACTTTAAATATCAGCCACTGTGTGGAGTTGAAAGGATCTTGTCTTCATTTTGAAATGCCAGTGTATGCAGAGACAGAAGTTACTAATTCCCTGTGTGGGAAACTTCTGGTGCTGGAAGATGTTTCTGGTTTGGAGATGGGAGGCAAGTGTAATGCCATTGTAAAAATACCCTCAGCCAATTGCTTAGGAAATCCCTTTTCCCTCCACCAAGAAGCCATTATGAAAGTGCCTGGATATTCCGTCAAGGGACCATTAGGAAAGTTCTCCCGAGGTCAATTATATAGGGCTTGCTAGTGAAAACACCAATTCACACACAATTTTCAGGTAAGGAGTATAAAACTCTCTATCATCCAGTAGTGGTATTGGAATACAGGTGACCTGAGGTGAATCCTGTTGCCCCTGAAAACCTCTTGTTCCTCTTCGGTGGCTTTTTTTTAGACCTGTGTTCTTTAGGAAATTCCATTTAAATGCTGGTTGTTTTCACATTAATAATGAGCATAGGTAGAAATAATTACAATCGCTGAAGAAATGCTTAATTTACAATGCATAAATAATCATTTTGAAAAGAAATGTAGCTTATAATGTGAATGAACAGAGAGGAAATTAGAGTGTGGCAGAAAAGTGTTCTCTTCGTAGCTGCATACTACTAAGAATATTATTTGAAACGTTTTGTTTTTGGAAGCACCACTTTCTTAAAGATGAAAGCTATTCATTATCTGAATTCCTCCAAATATACTTTAAATATTAAAGTATCTTTTATAGCACATGGGAGGGATGGTTTGATCTCTAGGAATAAATATAAACCCAACACTACTTGTTTATCCATCAACAAATGTACCTAATTACATCTCAAAGAGGGGAAGAGCAAATTTCAGTGACTTGAAAGGAAGGCATGGATGTGAGGGGGCATTACTCTCTTAGAAAAATATCACAATTCTTCTGAATAGTGTGTGGATTTGTTTTACTATATGTAAAAAAAATGCCTTTAAGTGGCTTGTATCACTGTGCATGTTCCAGGAGACAAAAGAACTTAGTTAAATATAGAGAAAAACAGTCAGTGAATTTATATATTAAAATTGACTGTTACCTGCCCAGGCAATCCAATACTTTGATTTCATCTTTATTCTGTTTGTAGTTTTTTCAACAGAGGGATATTTCCAAGCTTGTTAAAGCTCATTTATTGACTCTTGACTCTTAAGAAACCGGTTTTAAAAGATGGTTAATGTTTTGAGAAGCCTGATGGCTATCTTTTGATTCATATTTTCTGTTGAATCAGGCTAAATTTTTATCACCTCGCTTGTATTAATTTTTAGAGTAGACTCTTGAGTCAGATTGTCATTTACATTAATGAGGAATTTGGGTCTCTTTCCTGACAATACTGAACATTGAAATACCGTTTTATTAGGTCAATCTTGAGTCTTTATTTATGCAAAATCTCCATGGTTTAAATGGTTAAAGATTTGCATGCTTTTGCATAGGCAAAATACACTTAGCAGATTAACAGAGGTTTAAACAGGGGACATATTATAAATATTGATGTGTAATAGTCTGTTTTCACTCTTTTTAATGAAAAACCTAAAAAGCAAAGTCAGTCAAGTTTCTGTGGAAGTTTCCTATATCCTAGTAGATTTAAGAATAAGCTAGGGTACAGCTCTTGTTTGTCCCTTTACCCTTTTTAATTGTGTTGTAATGCTGCTAATTTCCTGCAGACAGTTCATATTTGTGAATTACCATTAGCTGTAAGGTGGCAAAGTGCCAGGTCTAACAGTCCAAGTGTGCCAATTCCATTGATAGAGGTAAACGTAACTGTCAACCTCAAATATGTTGAGTGTTTACATGTGTTTGACTTCAGGGAACTTAAATTATGCTGGCATTGTGAAACGTAGAGGCTAAGTTTTCCCCCTTTCTCGCAAATAAGAAAGCAGATTAAAAAAAGAGAACAGTAAAGAATAAAGGGAGATACATTAAAAACAGTTTTATTTAATACAAAGTTATCAGTGATGTTTTTCTACTTACAGGAGTTTTTGAAAATGTATTTCTGAGTTTCTGTGATTTAGGTGCATGTACAGACTTTGCCTGCTAAGCTTGTGCTTAACAGGTATTTCCGGGGTTTGCATAGCTTGATTGCTTTTTATAGGATCTCCAAAGAAGTGCACTGTCTGTATCAAAATGTGCAGTAGAAATAAACAGTAGAGATGTGCCTGCCTCCACAGCAATATAAATCATACTCCCAGCCAAAGAAAGAAAGGAAGGTTGTCTGTGACTAATGCAGTCAGTGCAGGATTTGTAAACTGCATAGCCACTGACTGAAGCAGATGGTGTCGATTTTTGCCTCTGCTAGAAACTCTTGATTCTTTATAGCGATGGATGCTTCCTCCAGTCTTTCTGGTAGGTTGAGCCTGGTACATAGAAATGCAAGAGGAAAGCAGGAAGGGAGGAAGCAGGCCTGCAGTCCTTTGGTGAGAGAGATTTGACTTTGTATTCCAGCACATATTTTTGTGTGTGCTGACTCCAGTTTTTGTGGTTCTGAAACGTGCAGAGAATTCAGTGAAGAGATCACCAGCATGAAATAACACCCTGTTAATTATTTATAAGTGGTGGCAAGGAGATGCAGAATCCTCTCTGTTCATCAAACTGTCAATCTTTTCTCTAGGAGATGCATCAAAGGAAGATATTGATGTTGCTATGAAGCTTGGGGCTGGCTATCCCATGGGTCCATTTGAATTGCTGGATTATGTTGGACTGGATACTAGTAAATACATTATAGATGGTACTGTTTGCTTATTTTCTTTTCTTTCTCTCTCTCTTTTTTTTTTTTTTTTAGCTAAATCGTAGGTAAATGTTGTAATCTGACTCCTCACTAGTTTGAATAGAATGTTTATGGTGCAGCCTTGTAACTGTTGAGGAGAAAGGAACAGGAATTCAACCACACAGAGTAGTTGACCTTGGTTGTGGTCCCATCTCCTTTGCTAATCCTTGCCATGGCTACTGCTGCAGCAACTGCAAAATCATAAGCTGTTGCTGAAATATAGGTGCCTGTTTTCTAAGTGAAAACTGGTCTAGAAACTGTCTTAAAGTAAATAATAATAATAATATAATAATAAAAAGAAGGCAACCCAAATGGACAAATCTTGCCTTTCCCCTCCCTCTTCCGCACCCATTAAGGTACACGAGGCAGAAATAATGTGCCCTTGCTATCATTTTTAGCTTTGATTTTTGTGACATCTTCAATTTCTTTGGAGACCTGTGCATATGGGCATGCACATGATATGAGGAAAGAGAAAACTCTTTACCCAAGCAGTTTCTGTGCTTTATGTGGAGATGTCTTGCTGTATTCTTTTTTTTTTTTTGGAAAATTTACCTCTTTAAAGTGAATGTAGGTACTCTATTTCATATCAGATATGAATTAGGAATAGAGTTTGCATAGAGTTTGCATATTGTATGAAAATAGAGTTGGCCACTTTTTAATGACAGGATCATCAGAAGTGTTTATGGAACAGCATAAAAAAGTGTATGTCTAATATAGCACTGGCTTTGAGATATGACAAAAATGGTAGCAGGGTGTAGCACATTTTGAAGGCAGACATACATTAGTCAGAGACAGTCAAGCAATGTATAATTTCAGCCAGTGTTCTGGAGCAGGGTTGTGTTCTCTAACTGACCATGTCTTTCACAGATAGAAATTCAAGTTGAATATCTTTTTAGCTGACCCTTTCTTTTTCTTAGTCTTTTGCTTTCTTTTATTTTAAAGATTCTCACTTGTTTTTAAAGTATTAAAAATCCCCAATTCTTCAGCTTACAAGAATAAAGTCTTCTGAGTAGACTGTGCCTAAAAACTAATTGCTAGACTTGCTCATGATTATGAAGTGAGCTGTGCTTTATGAAGCACAGAAACTTTATGAAGGTTTGGGAGAGTCTAGAATAAATTTCAAACTTCTTTCAGTTTGCTAAACTTTTAAGTTTTTTTTCCAAGGAGATGAAAATCTCTATCTTTCCATATAAACAGGACTATTACTAATCCATGCACTTTTTTGCTTCCACCAGGATGGCATGCGTTAGAACCCAACAATCCTCTTTTTGCTCCCAGCCCTCTGCTGAATAAACTGGTAGAAGAGAAGAAGCTGGGTAAGAAGACTGGAGAAGGATTTTACAAATACAAATGAACTCCAAAATTTGGGAGCTGTTAAACTTATCTGTGTATGCTATTCAGCATTTCCAGACTACAGGTGAATTCTGCTTATGCCCTCCCAAGGACGGCATGAGCTGCATTTAGAGCATAATCCACCTCTGAACTGATTGTACTACTTAACAATTTATGTGCCAAAAGCATGTTTTGGTAGATTAATTTGTCTTGAAATTCTGAAAAGCTTTACATGTACAGTGCCTTCATGCAGATATTGATTCTCTCCCCCCAAGTGCAGGACATACTGGCAAGTGAATTTATGTATTTTCACATGTTGTTTTATTAACAGGGAAAAAATCTGAACAATAAGTAAATTTTCATGAAAATAAATTTTTCAACAATTGTATACTGAATGCCCTGATTTCAATTGATGTACTTGGTCGTAGTCCACTGGGTGGCAGTCTTTTTGCGCGCTGGCAGATGCAGAGGTGGAAAGGCAGTATGTGGTTGTGTTAGGATTTTTCTTAATTGCAGTGCTAATCTGTAGGTGTAAATTACAGTGTCACAGAATCACAGGAAAACATTTTGTACATTTGTACTTGCACCACTTTGCACCAGCCTTGAACAAGCTTATGCTTTTGAGTGTAATATTAAAAACAACAAAAAAACCCTGCAGAGACAGGCTATCACCTGCACAGAAGAGTCCCAATACTGCCTTTAAAAGAAAACTCTGTATTTCTATTTGGATTTCCAGGCTTTTTCAATTGCAGGTCTAGGGCTACCTTTTGCTAGTTGCTATAGAAACATAATGAAGGTGTTTCCTAATTTGATGAATTTAGTACATAGATTTGTTTTTAATAACTAGACTAGGAAGCTTATAAAGTCTTCTGTATACTTTTTGAGACCTATAAATTGGCCTTATTTAGTGGCACTTCATTCTAAGTGTCATTTTTCACTACAGCACTACTCTACTATTGCCATCAAGTACTTCAGGAGATTGAAACAGCAATCCATGCTGTGTAAATAGGTGTGGCTAGTGGTGTGAGACACCTTGTGCTTTGTAACTTTATTTCCTTGGGGCCTAGCAGAGTCCGGATTTGTTCTTGATGGGAGTGCTGCAAGGCTGCCTCTTCTCCAGCTGCTGGAGAGCACATGAGTGTGAGGGTTGGAGCTCCAGTTTAATTGAGTAGTAGCTTGCTTTTATTATATGTATTTTGGATCTGTAAACTGAGTGCTCATATATATATTTTTAATTAAAGAAATGATGGATAAATATTTAACTCTCATATGCCTCTTCCTCCCTGTTCTAACGCCCAACACAGATTATCTGTAAAGAAAGTGAGGCTCGTGTGCTAAGTTGATTGCACATAATCACACAAGAAGTCACTGAGAGGGGAATAAAAATTGTTGTTTCTTTGGATCCAGGATCCTCATTCCATATTTTTTGCTTTTCAGTTGCTTGTCATTAAAGAGTGTCAAAAGAAAGAAATCATACCGTGGACAGTCTCTTTCCTTTTATAAAATTGTTAATGTGAAGTTGAATTGTTTTTTCTAAACTAAAGTCTACTTCTTGTGCCTAAAGTCCGTTTCACTTGAAGGTTCTTAGTGCCTCTGTCAATCTAGTTAATCTTAAGTGCTGCAGGAGCAATTAGCTTCAGAGCTGCTGTTTTCATTATTAATTAAGAACGGGAAAATTTGTATTACTCTTGTACCTTAACAATGCACGTTCTTTTTTTAGAAAAATAACATTGGTAAGAATTGTTGTTTTACTCAAAAGATCATCTTTCCTTTTAATTTGGAAAGGCTTAGGTTTAAAGCACAGCATGGACTGTTTAATAATAAATGTGCAAAATATTTTTCACCAATGTAGATGTGATATTTCAGAAAAATAAACTTTCTCTAAAAGAGCGTTTGCCTTTCAGGAGGTCTAACAGCTACAGTATGTATGTATGCAATATATACAAGAAAACTGAAAGAGGCATTTGTAAGTTTGGCTTGCTATTTCAGAAGAAACTTCTTTTTCTCTGTAGCAAATGGGACACATGGAGGTACTTTGCTGGTGGGCACGGATGGTTTATTCTGTCAGCATGCGGAGTACTGTGCCAGGAAGAATGAGGTAAAGGGCCAAAATGTCAAATATACTTAATTAGATCTAGATTAGAGTTTAGATTTGTATTGAACCACTGAAGCTACTGAATCAAGGTAAGTTTTTGTTTTTACTCCCCAGTGAGGAGGCATGAAATATGTCAGAAGTCTCTTGTTGGGTTCAAGATCACGATGAACACTCAAATTGGTCAGAAATAGAAAATGAAATAGCCGCTCCTCAGTTGTAGAATAGTTTCTGCAACTTGTACAGCAAGTAGTTTAGATACAATGCTAGAAGACTTAAAGAATGGGTAATGAAATAAACAGAAGAATTGTCTGCCTGCAGCTTTTCCCCAGTAAAGTTGACTTCAGAGCCCCTAGCTGTGCCTGTGACTGGATTCCAGAACCCAGAAGGGATCTTCGGCTGCATGTTGTGTTGACTAACAAGCAGGGACCTTCCAGCTGCTCCCTGTGTATGAGAATACTACTGTGGACACTCTGCCCTTCCTGGATTTTATTGTATAGGGGAAAACAGATTGTGAAAACATGAGGAATAGAAAAGAAGGAAGCAAGGATGCTTGGTTTCCATCACTGGCTGCTTTAAAAACCTTTAGTCTTCCTTATCTTTTTTGTCAGCAGACCTCCCAGCTTTAGAGCGTTTGCCCCACTTCCATCAAAGCTCTGAGACGTAGGCTTGGCACAGCTCGGAGGCAGCTTGACAGTCAGCAGCTGAGGAGTCGGACGTGCGCCCAGCTACTGCAGCTGGGAAGATGGCTCCAGATGCAGCATCTGCGTCATTTCAGCTGCCAAATGTGCTCCATGTATGCTCCATGACATGGGTGGGGAAAAGGCAGGAGCGCAGCAAACTTCACAGGGGAATTGAAAGTAAAGTCTTGGACTGGAGGAGAATGCTCTGTATGAGGGGCTTGTGGAGTACAAAGTGTGAGAGATAGCAATCAGATTTGATCCAAAGGGGAGATAAGTCTGGTGTAGAAATTAAAATGTGGCTTAATTCTGGCTAATGAAACACTCTCCACTAATGCCACTTAGCAGAACAGTACTTGTGTTTGGGTCAATAATAAGAGCTGCTTGTTTGCTGAGTGCAGATATCCTGAAGTAATAAAGGTCAGTCTGTGTTTGCAAAAGTAATCAAGCTTTTCAAGTATATTACTCTAGCAGATTAATTTTCTTAGATACAGATATCAGCTTGCAGCATGGATTTGAATCCGGAATGGATGTAGAAAGTGGGCTTTGTGCTATGTCATTTTTCCAATGTGGGAACTTGCAGAACATCACTTTGGTAAGATTTTAGTTTAGTTTAGAGAAGGGAACTGGGAAACACATGTTTTCAGTGTACCCAGCAAAACCAAACCCCTGTGGTGGGAAGATCTTGCGTGCTCCTGGCTTTCTGCCCTACTAGGGTCAATAAAGTCTGCAACTGAGTAAGGCTTGAGCCAGCCCTCTATAAACTCATTCCTGTTGGCAGAAAAATATGTGCCATGGAATGTGAGGTGAATTCTGCTAGCACCTACACTCTTTAGCACCTGTTTGTTGTAGTGTTACTCTGTTCCTTCTGAACTGTAGTGCAGTATTGAAATCAGGAGTCCCCAGGCACAGTGACCTTTAAGTATGTGCAGTGTAGTTGCATATGGGTGATGGGATTGCTTTGTTCCTTGGGAAGAAAATAAGAAGATGCCGAGTCATGGGAAAGTACCTTTTGGTTTGTGCCACTGTTTTGCCGAAGTGTTGCTAACTTACATTTGATGAATAATTCTTCTCCTTGCAGACAGATAAGAGAATTTGTTTGACCCGACAGTTGCTTGCCGTTCTCTAGTGAACTCTTTGTGTAAGTATCCTCTGCGTGTTGTTAGCATCATGACATAGAACATGTTTTCTGCATCTCCGTATTGCTCTTCAAGCCTATATCCATTTTCATAGCTATACTGACTGATGGTTGTCACAAATGTTAGAAAGACAGAACTAAAAGATATCAACAGGTAATTACCAAAATTTAAATTGCCAGTAAGGAAGTGGCTTTAAGGATATAGGTAAACTAGAAGTTATCTTTGTAGTTTATAGTGACTAACTTTCCTTTAAAAAAATCCTGCTTATGGTTTTGGAGTCTGTGTTTCAAGTGATGCAGCCTGATGTAGTCATCTTGTGCCTGTAGCTATCATGCTACACCCTTCCTCTTCTGACTAGTGTCACAGCAGAGTGAGCCATATTTCAGTGTTTTTATTCATAGCTATTTGCAAGCCCATGAAGAACTGTAAAACGGACCTGAATGATGCCTGTTTTTCTGTGCTATTCAGAAGAGCTAAGAACAGCAGCTGAAACAGATACTGTGATCACTTTGGAGAGCTCCATCTTCTCATGCTGTATGTTCCTTCAGTAGCTTTTCCTTTTTGCAGCCCAAGGAAGTGGCATTTAGCCTTCTGCTGAATTCTGTTAAGAAGGGTTAAGCGCAGGCACACTCTGTGCTCCCTGTAGCAGTTGGTAATTTTTAAGATGCTTTGTAGAAAGATCTGTCTAGAATTTGATGATCTTCTCAAAGTTCATGTTAAAACTTAAATCCCTTTTTATGTACTATTCCCTATTCAGTATACTTACGCCTTTATAAAGGCAGTGCTTTGCAGAGTCTCTTAAAATGTATGTAATGAGGTCCAGGGTTGTTACTGATACTATATTAATCAGATTTAGGATTGCATGCCCATAGAACAGCTTGGTACTTGTTAAATTCCCTCTTCTCATTTGTTCCCTTAGGTTTTTTTTTTTTTTTTTTTTTAATGTTTTCTATATATTGCAAATAACTTAAAACAGTAGATGCTTTTCACAGAAAGCAGCACCATAAGCTGTAACCCTGGCTGGGTTCTTTGGTTGCTACTGGAGCAGGAATAATGCAAAACGCCAAGCCTAGTTATTAAAGGAGCCATTTCTTTTGCCATGTGGTGGCATAAGGCATCAAAATGAGGCACAAAGCCAGGTTTAGTTTTTAGCTTTGGGTCAGATGCTGCTGGTTGGCGAGGGCACAGGAGGATATTTAAACATAACGGTTTTGCTTGGCGGGCACTGAGGAACTTGTCGCTTACTTTGGCTGTTGTAGGCTGCCAGATAACAGGATTTTTTCCCAGCCTGTTGTTTAGTGCTTCTTTGTTGGTGCATCTCTGTCCTGCCTAGTAACAGCCTCTGCTATTCTGGTCCCATTTTTCTGCCAGTAACCACTTCTAGGGTGGTTTTCTGTAAATGGACAAACCCTTACAGTATTTGCTGGATAAAGAATGCAAAATTTTTGTCATTAGAAACCTAAACCCCCCATTTGGAGTCTTGGCTTCTGCAACAAAAATCTTGCGGATTAACCACTTTCCCCAGTAAGGCTTTCTGATGAGCTGTGGGAAGAAGTGTACACTTGGCGGTAGGTCTACAGTAAACAGCTGGAACTTGCATGTGGTGAATTAGCACCAAATAAAATCCCCCTTTTTTGCTTAATTTTCATTTCATTCTCAAATGGATCTATTAAATGTTTGTGCAATAGAAATTGGTTAAACTGCGCATTTGCAATTTGTGCACGCACTGAGATTCAGCTGCTCTGCTGATGGCAGGGCCCGTGTAGGTAAAGTAGTGGTCTGTGATGTGATGAAGGGACGACTCTATTCCCAGCCTCCTCCTCCTCAGCAGGTGGCGTGTCCGGAGCTGGATGGAGGCAACCAGCCGTTGGGAGCCCTGCTTGGTAAGTTTTCAGCTGCTTTAGACTGACCTTTTGAACAGTGCAAAGCTGCAAACATGAACAGGTGTAAAGAGATACTGTAATTGTGTTTCATAGACACGGAAAGGTGTTCTAAAAGGTAAGATATTTCTGACATCTAGTTGAAGTCACCATTTCTCTGAATATGACAGGAGGGCTGATGGGTTCCTTCTGGTTGATGTTACAACTCTTTTCTCCCTTAAAATTTAGGCAAGTAGGCAAGATTTCTAAAAGCCTTTCATTTTAGTTGGAGACCTAGTGCTTTTTTTCCAGGATGTCTTAAGCAGGTGTGGCCTGCAGCTTCCAGTGACTTTTTGGACACTGAAATGCCTATCAGAATTTAAAGGAGGATTTATTTAAGAGCCTAATTTTCAGGGCCTCGGTTTTCTCTAAGTCTTGAGCTTAATCCTCAGAAGAAGGGGGACTGTTAGAAGAGAGCTAGCATGTATTTTTGTGACAAGTCCCCCATGTACAAATATTGAATGTGAAGGGAAACAGGAGCTTTCTGGTTCTATTTGCTGTTTATTTAGTTTTTTGGACAGCATCAACTGAAAGAATGAAGCTCTGCTTAGTGCTGCTGATTGGTCATTCAGAAAGTAGCAATGACAATTTCCTTCTGAGGGCAGAAAAATACTGCCTCCTGGTTTCTCTGCTTTCCCTTTCTGTTGACCCAAAGGATTTTAGCAGCTGCTTACAGATTAATTTCTGGGTACTATCATGAAATTATTGTCAGAGCAGCAAAAGCTAAGTACTCAAGCAGGGTTTTAAGTGTCTGAAGAAATTTTTGCAGTATTGTTTGAGGAAGAAGCGTGGATGGGTGAGGCTGCAGGAAATTATCTGGAGATAGCAGATATGAATGAGGCTGTGGATTTTAAAACCTGTTCAGGATGCTTTTAGTATCTGGGTAGGGTGAGACCTGTAGAAATGCTAGCTTTAAGGGAGGAGACAAAAGAAAGTTATAGAACCTAATTTGCTTTAGTATTGCATGAGGTTTTGAAAGTGGTAAATTTCCCTTTTAGAAAGAGGAAATATGAAAAGGAGAAAAAGATGCTTTTAATCTTATAAGTGGGTTTCCTGTTACCATCATCTTTGCCTTTTTTTCCCCCCTTCCCTTTAACAAAAACATTAATTGGAACAGAGGAAGAATTGTTTCTCTTTCATACAGACTTGGCATTTTCTTTCATTTTTGACTAAACAAAGGCCGATGTTGCTGAAGTTGACAGTAAACTGCCAAATCTGTGAACTGGAGCCAGCATTGTTACTTGGATCTAAATTTGTATGGACATTCATTTGTCTTAGAGTAACTATTGGGATTTAGTTTGTATCTAGACCAGAGTTAAACTCTGAAGGATCATTTGCAGAGATTTACAGCCGAAAACATTTAGCTTATTGGCAGGTGGCATTTAAGGTAGCCTGCAGATGGAAAGGGAGAACAATATGTCAAATGATCATACAGCAGCCATGATCTTCACCACACAGGCTAACTGCTTTTGGCAAAAGGTAGAGCTTTTTGACAGTGGGAGCTAACACCGCAAGTAAGAAACTGTTTCTAGTAAAGATTACACTTCTTAAAAATCCAATTCATTGTGTTTTTAGGGAATAAATGGTTTAGGAATGAGAGGCAGGGGGTACTGGTGTTGTACAGCCTTATGTTCCTTGTCTTTTCTGTAAGCTGTTAGTTACAACCCTTAATTTTAAGGGCAAGAGAGAGTAATGCTATAATAATGCATAATAGAGAACAGGTCAGGTAAAATATTTAAATCTACTGCCAGCATCTGACTCTCTTGTATTCCTGGAGTTATCATGGCTTCTAGAAGTGAGGTTAGCTCTCAAAGAAAAAAACGATAATGAGTTATGCTGGTGAGACAACTGTTGGACTAAGGTGACCTGAAGCATCCTTCTAATGTGGGAAGATTATTATAGTATATTCCATGTTTATGTAACTGTGGTAGCAGATTTAATACCTAAATCTGCAGTGAGGTTGTACACATCTCATTTGTGATACTCCCTTAGTCCTTCCTGGCAGTTTACACCACTTACAGGCTGTGAAGAACAGAAAACAAAAAATGTGTATGTGAGCTAAAATAGTACCATCCCAAGAGTGCAGTGGGGGAACAGATACGCGGGAAAATTTAGAGGGTTTCTTTCTTCAATTGCCTAGCCTTGTGCAAAATTTAAATACCGTCTTTTTATGTTCGTAGGAAATAGCACCAGGTTGCTGGAAAGAGGAGGCTGCTTTGCAGTGCAAGGGGCATTTGGCAGTGCTAGTCCCCAGCTGAGTTTGCTCTGTGGGAAAGCAGCAGAGAACAACCCATGAGGATGGAACGAGAGCGGAAGGGTCAGAGAAATACAAGAGAAAAGTGGGAGGAGAGAAACCCTGGAGCAGGTGTGAAGTGGAATGGAGCAGAGGGAAAAGGTAGTAATCTGTTTGACATATTGAAACATTTGTTTGCTGTCCTGTTTTGGAAAGGGACACCACTATAAAGAGAGGAAAAAAAAAAAGTGTGGAGAATGCCAGCACGGGCAGACCTAGTCTGCTTAGTGGTTAACGGAGTGGTTTTGAGTCATGCAGTTACACCAAGCTCAAGCTAATGGAAACTTTTAGACCATATGTCAAAACCTGAACTTTCAAACAGTGGCCAAAAACCCTGTTTATAAGTTTTTGGAGGGACCTTAGATTAAGATGTTTTGATTGTGAAGTCTTTCAGGACATTTTAAGTAAACAGTTGTGTGGAGTTTGAGCTAGCAGGTTCTTACAGGCCTGAAAAAAAGCAATGGCCATTCTCCTGTGGTTCCTCAGACATGGGTTTGTTTTTGTTTTCCCAGGTATGATTACTGCCTTCTAATTTAGGATCGAGATGGGAAGAGGTAGAGATAGTGTTAGCTGTGATAAAATAAAACAGATGTCCCAGGAGGAGAGTAAGAAGGGATCTCATCTCTGGGTAGCAAAAGGAGCAGCTACATTTAAAGAATGTTGGCTGCACTGGACTCTGAAACTTTCTCTCAGTTTAGTGGTGTATCACTAGTGTGTTCTGCTTTGCCTCCTGTTTTATTTACCCAGCACTTCACCTTCACCGCAGGGTCTAATAAAAACTGACTATACGTTGGTTAAGATCTGAGTCCCTATTTCCATGACTTGCTTAGTCTATGACCCTACCCTTGCCTAAGCAGCATCTCTCAGGGTTTGTTAGTCATTTTTCTTGGCTGTCAGTCCAAATTCAAAGCCTTGTGTCTCCAAATAAGTAAGTGCCTTATCACCATTAAGTTCTGGAATATATTGCTTTTCTTATTTTACTGAGGATTTTGTTTTGTTGTAATTTGCCTTGCCCGATTTAAAAGGAAGCTGTTACAGAACATTTTAGATTCTGAAATTTCTTCTTATGCAGCAGAGTTTAAAGGTCACTTATAACCAATCTAGTCACAAAACCTCCTTAGGCAATTAAGTCACACACCTCTGTGAATTTTTTGTAGTTCAGTACTTCCCTCATTCCAAACTCACACCAAACAAGATTCAGGAGCTAGAATACAACATAGGTTGGTTCAATTTACAGTTCATAGTTTGTTTCTTTTTTTTTTTTTCTGTTTGTTTTTTTGCAATGACACCCTCAAACAATTGGAACAGTTTTCCTGTAGCTACAATGTTTTGATTAGTTTTGTTTTTCCTAGTGCAGTCCTTCAGACATCTCCATGTGCTTGAAAGCTGTGAAACAGCAGTCCCTGAACAAATGAGGAAATGGATCAGAGAAGTTTCTGCTGGTGTTTGGGGCTGGAGAGGCTCACACATCTATAGTTTTGGGGCTGAAGAGCGTGGGAATGCTGTGTGGCCTTGTTTGCTGCTCACTCAGACTCTGATAGAAAACTTAATATAGGGATTGGAGAGCCTGATAGCACAGTTAGCCCAAATGTTATGTGGAAACATGAGGGAAGTCTCAACCTTCCCCTTCGTTGCTTGCACGATGAGAACAGGAGAGTTTTGCTTACCTTGGGGAAGAAAAAAATATACATTCCTTTCAAAAAGAACTATATTCACTTCAGGTAAGCAAACAGCCAGACACTTTGCATGCACACCAAAGAGTGTAGCCTTGCAAATGACCATGCTTTGGGGGACTTATTCCTGCCTTCCAGGGTTCTGCTTCTTCAAATGCAAGCCCTGCTTACTTTTTAAAGCCAGACAATTGACTTTAGTTTTATTACAAAGCTTTTATTAAAAAACAAATGCTCAGCACATTAACTCAAACTGGAATGACCCCCCCCCCCAAAAAAAAAAAAAGTTGACAGTATTTTTGGCAAAGGCTGTGCCTTACTCTTTAAAAAAAAATGGGTACATCAATGCTCATTTCAACAACTGGCATAAAATCCCACTAACAGGCTAACAAAAACAGATACAAATACAGAACAATTGAAGTAATAATTCAAGTGCTGGGCTTTTTACAAGGAAAAGGGGAATGGGTGAGAAGGAGAACTCACTGCGGTCAGATTTGCTGGATGTATTGCTTATGTTTACAGAGTAGATGATGCAAGACTGACATGTCTACTGACCAACTGACTGTTGTTATATTTATTTAGCTCTATAGGACACTGTTATTATAGACTTAGAGGCCACTATTTGTTACAAATAGTTTAACAACAACAAAAAAAATCCACCTTTATCCATACAGGCTTTTCCTCTGGCAGAAAAAAAAAAAACAACAAAAAACACCCTTTATTTAAAAAGTATTTCAGATTTTTGACACTTGTTTAGAAGCTCATACCTAGTAAAATATACACCAAGAAAATTAAAAACTAAAAGTTAAAATATAAAAGCATTCAAGTTTCTTAAAAAAGCTAAAACCAAAATTGATCCTGTCGCACCATTAAATAAAAAGAAGTGAGTGTGTCTTCCTCGTCCGGGCACATTCCGTTCCTCAGCATGCTCGAGAGGGCAGCTGTGGTCGCGTAAGTGGGGTGGCTGAAGCTGCCAGCCGTGCTACGGGGCTGCTGACTCAGTATGGACACGGCTGGGACGGGCATTAAGAGTGCAAGGCAGAGATGGAGAAGAAAGCTGCTTTCCTGACCCAGGAACTCATTTGCTCTTTTTATACCAGGGCTGGACCTTGCAAGAGTGAAGGATTTTGGCAGTGATTGTCTTTATGATTCAGTGCCTCTAGCAGTGACATCAGGGTGAATGGCATCCTGGGCAGACCCGTCAGGGTGGTCTGTGTGGATGAAGGACACACCTAGGGTTTAACAAGCTTCCATCTCCAGAAGGGGTCCTGGTGTCGCAGCCTTTGCTTTGCAAGTCGAGAAAGTGTTTCTTTTCCCACCTACAGAGAAAGAAGGGAGAGTGATAAAGTTTAAATGAAGCACTTTGTTTGTTTTTAAATAAGTCCCCTTCAAAGAAACTGTCCATACAGAAATTCCTGGCGAGGGGTCACTCCAACTCAGCAGTACAACTGTATTAGTGGAAGTTGCTTTTGCAATGCCAAAATTAAGCGCAAAGTGTCGCTACTTGCTCATGCTTAAAGTTTGTAAGAGTATTCATGGCTTTGTTTCATTCAAGAGAGTACTCTGATTGCAAATAGATGTCCACTCACTAGAGTATTTTTTCCCTCCCTAAGAAAGCCTTAAACATTGAACATGTTACAGAAGTAATTTCTATTTACAGTGCGTTCCATTTATCTAAACCACTTGACCCAGACATCTGTTACAGGTTTAGGCATCCTCAGGCTTTGATACGATGGCAGTTGAGGTCAATTAAACCTCCATCACAGAGCCCCAAGCCCTGCTCTCCACAGAAACAAAGGAATGTTCTCTTTGGGAAGCAGCTGCGGAGCAGCTGGAGCCTCATGGGTGACAGAGAGGCAGGCTTCCGTGAACACTGACCCTGCTGCATATCCGTATCGCTGAGGAGGATTCCTTCCACCCTTCCATGAGGTAGGCAACATCTTCCAGTTGGATAAGAGCCATGGGACACTCACCTGGCAGCTGAGTTGCCTAGAACTGTTGGAGGATTTATGCTCTTATGGCATATATGCAAGCCTAGAGGTAGTAGTCTCTGCTCTCTACAGGGTAGGGCAATTCTTGAACATGAGGGTTACGTGGGCCTCATGCAACAGCTGATTTGAGTCACCCCTGCCCTTCTGAACCAGACAAGGGGACTGTAATGGGGACTCCACCCAGTGACTAGTGTGATGAGTCAGGGCGTTATTCCCAGACAGACACATGCTTTCCAGTAACGGTCTCAGAGTTACTGGTATCTCACAAAAACAACTCTAACCTCTAGGCTTCCAGACACTACCCAACTGCCAAACATGTCAAGGGTTCAATGAATAGGACTTTAAGGAACAACTGAAATTAGCACCAGGAATGCAATGCAGTGGAGAAGGTAAGCGAAGTTTCACGAGAACACCACACCAAATACTGATTCAGGCAAGGAAGATAAACTGTTAACACCTCTAATCACGCGTGGCAAGATAGAACAAGTCTTTCATACAGAAACAAGTCTGTTTGAACCACTATTCCAGCTTCTGTTACCAGAATGTGCCAGCTGCCTGCATCCTGTTAGACTAATCATAACAGACTGATTCCTTGAGACTGTAACAGCCACAAAAAGAAATAAGCAGCAAATAATACAGCAGCAGTATTTAATGAAGGGCCATTTTATCCTACATTCTTCACTCCTGCCCCCCTTTCCACTTCCATGCAGTTTCAATTTAATTCATTACAATACAAAGCACTTTGCCCATGGTGGTTGAGTCCTGCTCTTGAATAAGAAGTTATACAAGCTAATGTACTCCAGGGTAGAAAGGCTGCAAAAATCGAGGCACTTAAATTTTGGTAAGAGCCAGATCAGGACCCATTTTTTTTCTGTCAAATTGAATCCCTCAAGGTCACCCTCAAGACCAGTCTTTTAGTGGAAGGGAAAATTGGGAATATTGAGGATACTCAAGAAGTTTAGCTACAGACTAAGGTAGAAAGAGAGAAAGCACAAGTTCATGCTAAGTTATACTGCATTGCTTTAGCTTGAATGAGACTCTCTCCCCCAAATACCACCAGTCCCTCGTACATGATGAGTAATCTTCACCTGCTGCTGATAGCCACAAAAGGACATTTAAAGCCACTGTGGCCTTTTAAAACAGCACAGCCAAAAAGTCCACTAGAAAAGCAGTGGTTCAACAGAGGTGGTCTGTATTGACTAATTTGGTTCCTATTTCCTCATAAAAACCAGTCCAAGGCCCAACTAAAAAAAGCATTCTGAGTTTCCTGCTTTTTTTTTTCTTTTTTCTTTTCTTTTTTTTTTTTTTTTTTTAAAGTAGCACAGTGCTCTGTAACACATGGGGATCAAAGAACTATGAAGGGCTCTACCTTTCCAAGGAGCACGAAAGAGAGGCCAAGCAAACAGCAGAGGAACACCAGGGAGAGCACCCTGCAGCTTTATATTTATTTTGTGCCTTTTCATCCCAGATTTTCAAAGGTTTGGTCCAGGTTGCTCTTCCTGGGAAGGTTTTCCTCTCAGTCTTACATGAAAACATTCAGCTTCCTGTTGAGGAATGGCCTTGAGGCGCCAGGCCAGTAGTTCACAGCAGTCTGATACAAGTGCTGTGATTCAGAGCTACTCCCCATTAGCAGCCAGGAATGTCTACTTCACTGAAGGAAATGAAATGCTCTTCTGTTGAGATGATTCCCTGCCTCCCCCCACTTCTCTTAACCAGCAAGCTGTCTTTGAAGTCAGGAGGTTAAAATAACGACCACGGCCTTGCTGTGGCCCTCAGCGTTTTCAAACAGGGGCCATCACTTCTTTCTCCATCCAAATGCAGCTTCAGCCTCATTTTCATAACCACTCTCTACCTGTAATTACCCACCTCACTATTAAAGAGAAATTACAAATACTGTTAGAAATTACAAATCCAGTGTAATTCTGCCCCCATGCAGAATTACATGTACTCTTATTTCCCTGTGTATTTTTAATTCTAGAATACTGCCATGCAGTAGCACAGTAGCTAGCCTAGAAACAGTATCTAGAATGCAGCCTTTTCCCAGCTGTGCACTAAGGCTACACACTGGAAATTGCTTCTGCTGATGATAAACCAAATAATGCCTAAAAACTAATAACTATGATGGTGTTGCCTTACAGATAGAAAACAGGTCAAATCAGGATTCTTTTCAAGAAACCACAGGCATGTGCTAAGGAGACTGGAGACTTCCCACATCTAAGGCTTCACTGGGGGGCTGCAGCTGAAGTCTCGCCAAGCAAGGCATGCCCTAGCAAAGCCCAATCCACAAGTGAAGTCGGCGCAATCAAAGACTGCAATTACAGCTCCCTGGCTGTGGTTAGGCTTCAAAGAAAGTGCTGCAAGTCACATTTTACATATGTGAAGTCTTGAGCCTGAGCCACAATAGGAGGCACTGTCTGTGCCATTTGCAGTGTACAGCTGACTGCAGGAGGGAAGGCGGGTGGGGGGGGGAGGAAACGAAAAAACTTGAATAAGAAACAGAAATAAAATTCAACAATAATTCAATGTAAGAAGAAAAGCCTTACTACTCAAACGATAAACTGGATTTCAGCAATCAGTACGTTAAAAATAAAGCCTCCTAACAAGGCATGGCTCAATAGCTGAGGGCAAGCATTAAAGAGAGATCAAAATACCTCCCTGCTCTTTGAAATGAGATGCATTGAAGGGTGGGTCCACAAAGGCCTTATGCTCCTCCTCTCCTCTTCCCTGTCTTTAACTTGCCTCCCTTTTGCTGGAGCAAGTGAGGGAGCATTATGCAGTTTCATCCAGGTCACCCTAATGAGAAGAGGTAGGAAAGAAACTTGAAGAGTATCTGGGTAGGTGTAGGAGCAAGTACAGAGTAAGAGAGAAAGCTAACCTTCACAGAAGGCAAGACAACTTAAATCTGGCCCTTTTTTCTATACCCTTCCTCTACTAGAGGTTGTTTTCATACAGTCATAAGGAGAGACAGGAAGACATAAGTTGTGTGTATATGTTTTTATATATATAAAAAAGTGACTAAACCAGGCTTTTAATTCAGTACTTCAAACAACATGGCAAACTCAGGGGTCTAACAACTGAAACTGCATCATTTTCTTTTGAAGTCCAAAACAAACATGTTCAGTTTAGTGCCAGCATTTAGCCAGTACTGCAGAAACCAGGCTATGCAAGTCAGGCTCTTATTTAGCAGCAGTTCCCTCCGTGTGTGAAGCTCCTTTGTTTTCTTAAGCAGCAGAGCTGTAAAGAGATTCAGGCACAAGAAGACAGATGCAGGCGCTGCAGTCTGCTCCTCTTCCTGCCCAGCTGTGCCATGGTTTGTGGGGCTAGCCTAAACCAGATCCCTGAAATGTTCTGGGCAAACAAAAACAAACACTCCACAACGTTTGTTGTTTTTAAACAAAAAAAGCACCTCCCAGCTAAACCCCAGTGTTTTCAGTAATCCGATTTGCTGCAGAGACCCACAAGCTGTTACAGTGCATGGATGGAGACAGAGGAACAAGTTCTCTCTGCAAGAGCTGGCTACAAGCAGGCAGCAGGGAAAGCTGCCTTTGTTGCCAAAGAAACTACATAAAATTATACCCTAAAACTCTTAACAGATACTGCCATGCTGAAGCTATGTCAGTTTGGTAAGTTTTTCTTGTTTTATTCTTCCTTGCTACTCTTAGCCTCAGCCCATTGCTAACTGTGGAAGGAGTCTGCCATGCCAAAATACCTACCTGAGTTTAAGATGCCTTGAAATAGCTCCTCCTGAAGATACCTCTGCACTGACTGCAGGTGGAGCCTAGTGTCCCAACTTCTATCTTCTTAGCTTGGCCTAAGCAAACAGCAGTAATAACTGCTTCCCTCCTCCGAGTCAGTGACCTGTTTCAGGGCAGGTTGGTATCAGTGCTGGAAACACCACGTATTTTAAGGCTGGTGCTTTGTGCAGCTGAAGTCAGTGATGCCAACACAGACATCACCCCTTATCAAAGGACCCCAGCGTAGGCAGTATGAAACTGGAGGCTAGATCTGTATCTGAGCTTGTCTTTAAAAAGATTATACTGGAAGGTCTGTGACATGTTTTTCCTGTTGGGAGGATGGGGAGGTTCTATGCTTATAATAATAAACAACAGGTTAACTCTAGACAGCTGCCTCTAGTAGCTTCTTAGAGAAGAATATACTAAAAACGATCTGCAAGAGAAGGAGAGGAAGGGGAAAAAAAAAAAAAAACACACACACACACAAACTTGTGACCCTTTTGTATCTTTGTGATATATATTATATATTCAAAAGACTATTTAAAGACAGTTTCATGTTTGCTTTCTGAAAAAAAATGAACCATTTGGGTGTCA